GGCATACAGTGGGGAAGGGAAGCATTCTATCCAGCACCAGGAAATTATCTAACCACTTTACTGAGTATTAAACCCATTACCTTCCTGTGAGAAAGCCAGTGTCTCTCTATCCAGAGCACACTCCAACTTCTCTGGGTCTACTAAGCAGCTAAGACAGGTCTTGGTTCTAACTCTGCAAATCAATTGGTAATGTAGTCAATTTTGAAATTTCCAATCTATCCAATTATTTAGGCTGTGTTAAGTAAGGTTATTAGAAAAAAGCATCTGAGGGAGTTTTTTCAACAACTATTCATTGTTGTATTAATTTGCCCACACTAACTCAGGGAAAGTCTGCTTGCCAGGCAAAAGAAGGTGTTCAGTATTTCAATCTGAGGAAACAGAGGGGAGGAGAAGAGTTTAGAAGTGATAAGGGAGAGGGTAGAGACTTAATGAACAGAATCTAAAAAGTAACCTGAATTAAAACAATATGGATTGGTGGTAAAATGATTGCCTATCATGTGCAAGACGTTGGGTTAGATCCTCAAATATACACATATACATCTAGTTTTGTACCACAAAATTTATTATATCCAACATCAACTCAAAACAACAATTTCTCATTAGATTCTTCTATTTAAATTTTTTATTTTTAGAAACTAGTATCTTATTTTGTTGTCTATGCTGGTCATGTGCTCAAGTGATCCTCCTGCTTCAGCTTCCTGAGTAACTAGAAATACAACCAAACTTCAAGAATTCTTTTGAAGAAAGGCACACCTTAAATAATGCTATATTACCTTTCTTTTGAGGGTATGAATCCTAGTTGGAAAAAGGGGTTGACACTATTGATGGCTGCTGATGTTGAGAGGTAACAATCTCTTTACTCTTTTATAAGATTATTCCCATAGGTTCAAATAGGAAAAGGTGATCTCTTTTAACTTTTTTTTTTTGAGTTGGGCTTTGTTTCTTGCCTGGAACTTTGTATACTTCTTACATAGCTAGGACAGCAGGTGTTGTTATCAGGCCCAGATGATTGTGATGGGCAGCGGATGGCCTGAAACTGTGATCTTCCCAATCTCAGTCTCTTGAGTAGCTAAGATGACAGGTGTTACCACCACATCTGGTAATTACTTCTTTCTCTTGGTCTGTGTCCCTGCTTGCTAAGTCAAGCATTCTATGGTGTGTGTAGGTATGTCCAGAGGTAAAGATAAAATTAAGGCACTGATGCAGCCCAAATGTGTTTGATGACTTCAGTGTCAGACACTGGTCTCAGAGACAGGCAGGTACTGCTGCTGTGGCCCGGCATAAACTCAGCCTGGCCTGTTCTCTCTTACTCTTGCCAATGTACACTGCTGCCATGGACAGACTCTTTGGGACAATGCCAATAATCCCTGTTTTATGTCCTAATTACACAATCACTTATTCCGTTGGCAACTTGAAAAAAAAACAAAAGTTTAAAAGGTAGAATATTTAACTATGATGTACCTTGGAACAAGTAGAAAACACAAAATAACTACCTTAGGCAGCCTTGCAAATAAAGCAGAAAACTTTGAGAAGTCAGCAACATTTCTAGAAAAGAGTCCACCCTCATGCAAGCCACACAAGAAATCAAGACAGCAAAAATCACAACTTTCCTGCTTACATGGCCAAACACTTGCAAGATGATCTATTAAAAAATGACACCCAGGCTTTCTTTGAGAAAAGACAGGCCTTCTCAGCAAAGGCCTTCAATGAGACAAAAAGTTTCTGGGCAAAGAGCAGGGCAGGAAATCTTGGGATTATTAGAAATTTGTCTTTCAAATATTCAACATCCAAAAGCTTCAAGCTTTTCTTTAGGGTTAAGAGCTACTCACCACCATGACTAGGCTCATCAATAATTTCCTCCAAGCCACACAACTTTCCAAGTGTTACCTAGAGCGTATACTACTTGTTAGCTGGAAATTCATAGTCACTCTTCCCTATTGATGGGAAACATCTCTTAACTTCTCACCAGGTTCTGTTCTGTAAACTCTAAAGACCACAACAGACTCAGAGATGTGGGCCACTTCAGTGAACACAAGTTATCTTTCACATCATTTTGATGTATTCTAATTGTGCTCTTCTGGGTACTGCACTAGCTCAGAAAATAGACCACTAGTTGATACTTGGACATTTTCATTACAATAAATAGAACTTGTGATGTTTCAATGCCAGTCCCAATATAGGTAAACACAACTGCTTTATTTATTTTATGCTGGTACTATTTTTATGCTTGAACTTAGGACCTCATACTTGTACAGTTTGCTTGCCTGGCTGGCATTCTACCACTTAAGCCACACTCTAGTTAAGGTTTTTTCCAGTTAATTGGAGATGGAGTCTCACAGACTACTGGCTAGGCTGGCTTTGAACTAAGATACTCTAGGCTTCAGTTTTCTGAGCAGCTAGGATTACAAGCATTGAGCATCATGACTTGTTTTTTCTTGGTCATTTGTGGGGCTTGAACTCAGGGCCTGGAGACTATCCCTGAGCTCTTTTGCTCAAGGCTAGCTCTCTACCACTTTGAGTCATAGCACTACCTCCAATCCTGGTGGTTAATTGGAAATAAGAGTCTCACAGACTTTTCCTGCCCAGGCAGGCTTTGCACCATGATCCTCAGATCTCAGCCTCCTGAGTAGCTATGATGACAGGCATGAGCCACCAGCAATTGGCTCAAGACCATTTTTAATACCTCATTCTACTGTAGAAAAATATTAAAGATGCTTGCACAAATACATATATCAATGTGACACAGTAACAGATAGGAAAATGGGACAAAGGCTAAATTAGAGTAGGTACATTCGGATAACGCTAGGAGGAAGGGCCAGGAATTTAGCTCAGTGGCAGGGTAGTGCTTGTCTATCAAGGCGCTGGGTTTGCTGCCCAGTCCTAGTAGTAAGGGGATCAGGCATTAAGCTATGATGACAGAATTTAAAGTCTGTGTTATCAGACCTACACACATATTGTTTTCATGAGTGGCTAGAAGATCTAGCCCCCATCTGCTTCTGTAAATAAAATTTTATTGGAATACAGCCATGCATATTAATTTATAAATTAAATATGGCTGTTTCTACACTATAACAGCAGAGTTGAATAGCTTTGACAGAGATGCTATAGCCCACAAAGCCTAAGATATTTACTGTGTAACATTTTGCATAAAAAATATACAGACATCTAGTTATGAGATATTTTTTCTGCCTAGGATATAAAAGCTAAGTAATTTCCTAGGATAACTATAACTCTTTGTATAGTTCTAAAGTAGAAGATAACTTTCTACTATAAAGAGTTCTTTATACACTCTAATAAAAGAACACCTATATAGCATCATTTGTATTGATAAACAAGTAGGTTTCACAGGGTCAATGGCACAATGATGTCACAGTGTAAGTCAATGAAAAATTCTATATAAGGCTGATATAATGCAGTTCAGATACCTGGCCTGACTTAATTCATGGATAGTCTCTAAAGATGGTAAATGCCCCCCTCCTGCGCAGGCCTTGCCATCCTCCTTCCCTGGCAGATATGGTTAACAGACCCAGGTGCTTTCTTCTGCTGAGCCTTAAGTGACTTCAGAAGTCCTGCTCTGGAAGACTCAGCTAATTATTAGCATTTGACATGCAAGATTAAACCAATATGCTATCTTGTTGGAAGGTAATTTTACCTGAGCACTATTGACTAGAGGTAGTGAGACTGAAGTAAGACTATCTATCAGTTCCTAAAGCACAGAGGTTCTATTCTGTTCAAGTGTAGAGCAGACCCCTTCAATGGCAGTTAAAGTGGAAAGATTGGATTGCCATCCTCTTGTGACAACCAGAGCTTGCCAAGGATGGCTTCCTGGAGAAAAAATCTCAGCAGAGAATCTGAGCAAATCTGCAAGAATCTGAGACTGGATGGTATATCCTTAGTAAAATTGCCAGGAATCTCTGCAGACCACTGAGTAGATAAATAGGATCCAGGCACAGAGAAACCACAGGCCTCTTGCCTGGAAATGTTCAAGCCCAAGGCCCCAAAGAAACAAAACTCCCAAATACCATCACCTATACCTACCACCTTACTATACATTTGTCTTGAAAGAACTCTCCAAAAGACAATGGCTCTAAAATAAACACAAACTAAGAAAGATGACTCATAAGAAACTACAATTCAGTTAAATATAGACGAGGATAAAAAACAAACATTGACTATGGATTTAAAGTGACCTTTTTCTATGCCCATTCCTTCATTATGACTAAAATACTTGGTAATGAATTGATTGTATTTTTAGTGGAACAAATTATTGTTCCCAACTGATCTTTGTACATGGAGACTGAAAAGCATAGAACTGATAAGCAAAATATGCATTTTGGGGTCTGTGATTTTCTTCTAGAAAATTAGCTACAAATACATGAAAAATAGACACATTTGATAGTGGATATAATACAATCAACAAATAGAACAGATCAACAGTAAAAAAAAGTTTTTCAACCTTTTCCTAAAGAGAAAGACTATCAAATCTTGCTATTTATTTATCCAGTACTAATGCTAAGGGTTCTTAGAGCACTTAAAATCATATGCAGGCACAAGAGAATTGGAAAATGTACACTGAATGGCCTTAGAGGAAAAGAGGAAGGGAAGAAGAGAAGGAGGAGGAGGAAAAGTAAAGGGTCTTTATTTGGTGTGCTCATATGTAGAGCAAATTACTAAGATGTCCACCAGTTAATCACTGGGTTTGGAACTACACATAATGTCAATCTAGAAAATTCCAGAGGAAAGTAAAGGCTATTCTATATCAGCTCAGGGATGCTTTGTTTCCAAGCCATTATGCAAACTTCTATGTGCCTTGAGGTATATTGAGTCCAAGCTGGAAGGGAATGTTAAGTAAATGCTGGACCATATCCCTCTCAACAGCCTTTGTAACCATGAAGGCTACACTTCCAAACCACCAGTATGCACAGTATCTTTTCGAACTCTCATAGGCAATCATACTTTAACTGATTTTTTAATGACTAGGTGTGAAGGTTTGTACTTACGTAATGCGTACAAGGTGAGAATTATTCCAGCCAAGCAAAATCCTTCAAAGAACCTGAGTGTGCTGAACATCGTCACATTCACTGAGAGTGCTACAGTCAGTCCAAAGATCAGAATGAAGATGATGGAAAACAGCAGCACAGGCCGCCGGCCAACCCTGCACACAGAGAGGAAAAAAGTTAGTAACTGATATTAAACAATGATGATGCTAGATGCTGAAACCCAGTACCCAGCAAGCAGTTAACATATGCTAAGTGGGTATGAGTTACATGTTTTTATATTATCTAGATTTGGATCATGGACTACTTGTGGACTCTCCTTATTCTGGAGCAAAGGGAGCACAGGAGGAAGAGAGAGAGAGAGAAAGAGAGAGAGAGTGTGTGTGTGTCAGAGAGACAGAGACAGACAGAGATAGAGAGAGAGACAGAGAGAGAGGGAATTGAGATACAATCCTGATTGCTGAGTCTATTTGTGTGTATAAACAGGGATGGTTCAAAGCAAGAGGGACTAAATCAACAACAACTCCCCAAACACAAACCTTGACACACCTGGCATTTAATGTCTTGAGAAACTACTGACCTTTGGAACTGGCCAGAAAGTCAACACAGGCATGAAGAAAAGGCTTTGACTTCCGCTCTGGGTTGTTCACTAAGCTGAGTGCCTGATCTCACGCATAGTCTATGGGACTAGGCTGATGGGTTACAATTTGCCTCAGCCACGTGATAGTAACTCTTAAGAATCACACAGTAAGCTGGGCACCAGTGGCTCACACCTGTAATCCTAGCTACTCAAGAGGCTGAGATCTGAGGAATGCAGTTAAAAGCTAGCCATGGCAGGAAAGTCTGTGAATCTCTTATCTCCAATTAACTACCAGAAAACTGGAAGTGGCACTGTGGCTCAGGTGACAGAGTGTTCGCCTTGAGATGAAGAGCTCAGGGACAGCACCCAGGCCCAGAGTTCAAGCCCCAGGACCAACCAAAAGAAAAATAACACATTAAGCCAAAACAGCCTAAACACTAAATAACTAGTGTGGTCCTGATGTATGCTCAAAGTAGAGTCTGAGGGAAAGGACTGCTGACACACTAAATTCATACATGAGGCACAGATGGCTAGCATGGATTAGTGACCACTAGAGGGTGATGTGCTTGGGGTGGGGGTTAGGAAGTTAGCCAGGGATGGTCCTGAGAATGGGAAAAATCACTAGTTTCCACCCTCCACCCCACCTCCCATGCTAACCTTCCATCTTGCCCTGGCTTCACTCATTAGAAATAAAATTGCGGCAATAACTCCCCATCAAACACATTAATATTTAACACAACCAGCTTGGGCTAGATGGAAGGATAGCTCACAGAGAAATTAGGGCAGAGTAGATGCCGTTTGCCAGGGGGAAGAATACAATGAAAAAATTTCAGGCCTGGCACCCTAACACTAACTAGGGGACTTAAATGACTTATACCATGCTAGATATGACTAGACACTAGCATCAAGTTAAATGCCCAGAAACTGTAAATCTGGAGAAACAGAAAATAGAACTGCAGTTATGAAGAGCTGGCAGTGAGAATGGAGAGCTGATGTTCATGAGCCCATTTCTAGCACCCTAATAAGGCTGATGGAAATGATTTCAAGTTAGAGTAGGTGGTGGTTGTATAATTATGCATGCACTAATACTCACTGATTGACCATTTAACAGGTAAATTTAAGGTATGTGAATTATTTTTTAATGAAGCTCTTTAAAAAAATAACAAAGCATAGCCTTGGTCTTACAAAGGACATGAATGTGATTTTAAAATGTGGGGCAGGAACCACCAGATAGCATTTCCTTCATGCCTTTCTAAGGTTCTAAACATCTCCATTAGTCACTTGGCTTTTGTAAAACAAGACCAAGGCTCTGAACTCAATCCCATGTAAATCAATCATCTTGTCCAAAGAGCTTTAAGCTTACTTCTGTTATATGATGCTGTGGTCTCACTAGGAAAGATCTCAGCAGGTAATTTTTGTCCATTTCCAACTAATTTACAGGAATAAATACAAAATATGACTCAGTTATTCTCCTCAGATAAAGGAAAGCACACAGAAACCCAATGTCTATTTTTATCTCCCTGAACCTACCTCAGCTGTAAACTAAAGATAAGGTTCTACTTTACAGAATTACTAAGACTGTTTATGAAATGAGATGACAGACAGATCTAAACACAAAGCTTGGCATAAATAAAGTAGCTAAATTTTTAGCTTGCACAGCTTTCCTGCATTTCTATATCCTTGACACCTGCCAGACAAGGTTTTTCCCATTCTGATACTTTTTTGAAAAGACACTTACTATTTTTTATCCTGTGGAAACTATACCAAATAATTTTCTCTAAAAGGATTGAAGTAACAATTATTATTGGGGTTTGTATGGTCTTTGAAGTTGGAGCACTCTAGTTTCAAACCCAAGTTCATACTGCTTAGGATTATGAGATCTTGAGAAGAGCCAAACTTATTCCAATGAGACTGTTAAGGCCTATGGAACCGGTGTGGAAATGTGCAAGTGATTTAGCAGCAACTTAAACCCAATACATGCAAGATGAACATGCATTGTCCGCGAAGCCATGGAGTGTGAGGATGAGTTGGCTCCCCAGAGTGGAATCCCCTTAGAGCAGAGAGACCTCTACCACTTAGGATCTGTGAAAGGCGTAATAATGGCCCTTGAAAATGTCCCATCTGAATCCTTACAACCTGTGAATATTTTACATTTCAGAAAAAAATAGAACCCTGCAAATGTCATTAAAGTTAAATAAAAATAGCTTGATTTCACCTGGGTGGGTGAGATGGACCTGACCTACCATCGCTGGCTCTGAATACAGAGGATAGGGGTCACCAGTCAAAGAACATGGTGGCCTCCAGCAGCTAGAGAAGATGAGAAACTGTCTCCCAGAGCTTCCAGAAATGAACACTACTCCGCTGATACCTGGTTTTAGCCTCGTGAGACCCTTGTAGTGCTTGAGAATTACATAATCATAAGATGATTAATTTGTGTGGTTGAAGCCACTGAGCATGAAGTAATTGGTGACAGCGAGCCCAGGGAACCAATACAGGAGCTTGACAGGAAACAGACATCCCTCTCCATTGCAATGGCTGGAGGAGACTTTAATACGGGCATTATATACCCAAGAGTGGAGCACTGAGACAGAACTCACAAGGGACAGTGACCCTGCAGTGCCTAATGGCAGGGATTGGAGGGACAGATGGTCATGACCTCAGAAAGAGAAAGAGGCATCTCGTGTGGAGGAGCCTGAGAGGAGGTAACTGGTCTTCTGTCCTTGAAGAAACCAATGTCTGAATACTCTCCCCCCTGAGGATCAGTGGCTGATGCTCCCCACTGGCCACCAAGAGCTCAAGGGCCAGGGGTCCTCTGATGCAGATCATTACAAATGCAGGATATTCTACAAAAGAGCAGAAGGTAGCAGAGCCCCAGCCTGCACCTCTCCAAGAGGTCTGAACTGACATGCTGTCTAACAATGTCTAATGTAGATTTCCAGAAAAAAATCTGGGTTGAAAAATGGAACTTTTAAAAGAAAGCAGTTTACAATTTAAATGCCTATGCACACTAACTGAAATCTTAGGAAGCTTGTTCTCTGGCTGCAGCCAGCTAGGAAGCCTGGAGCTTCCTCAAAGGAGGGTGTTTCCTTCTACTCAAGGGTCAAGGCAGGGAGTAAAAATGCAAAACATAACAAAACTAATGGGGACAGAAATACCAAATTTCCCAAATGAAATGTCCATTCGAAATGTTCAAAAAGCCACAATCCACACACAGATACTGTCCTAGCTCCCTGGCCACACCCACCCTGACTTTCCCAGCCTTGTCTACCTGCCCTTGGATGTGGACCCTCAGGAAGTTTGAACAGAGAAGTGAGTTCAACGTATCAGACAACTGGCTATTTGAGAGCAAGAAATGAACCCTTTAGCTTTCTGTCCTAGGTCAAGTGTGTGATCAGGGAGGCCACTGGGCATAAAGGTACAAGAAGAACCTTGAAGGGGCTGGGAAGGTAGCTCAGTGGTAGAGCACTTGCCTTGCATGCCTGAGGCCCTGGGTTCGATTCCTCAGCACCACATAAGCAAAAAGAAAAAAGCCGGAAGTGGCGCTGTGGCTCAAGTGGGAGAGTGCTAGCCTTGAGCTGAAGAGCTGAGGGACAGTGCCCAGGCCCAGAGTTCAGGCCCCACGACTGGACCCCCCCCCCAAAAAAAAGAAGAACCTTAAAGCAGCATAAACTCTTACAGGCTGATTGATTCATTAATAAAAGCCCATGCTCGACAAGAAATGTATTCATTGCCTTACTTATACAACTGTAACCCCTCTGACTTCACCCTTACTGAAAAACCAAAAAAAAAAAGCCTATGCTTATTTTCATGTTATTAAATGCTCCACCAAGTCTGTGTGTTTCAGGAAGAAGGTGGCATGGTTTATGTGAAAAGATATTCCTAATTCATTTCAATGAAGATTTCTGGGAAGCAGTAGCTTTTAGGTCTTGCTTTGCTCAAAACCTCTGAACCCAAACATCTGGTTAAATAAAAACCAACCCCCTCTCCTCAAAACATGAGCAGGGGCTGGGGGAGAAATCTAAAGGAGCACCCCCAGAGTAGGTCTCCAGGGGCTGCTGACAGCTTTTTTGTTTCTGCCTGCAGGGAACATTTCCATATGAAGCATTTATAAATGATGAGGCAGCAGGTTCTGAGGACACTGGAAACCACAGTGTGTAAGCTAGAAGAGGAACTCCAAAACAAAGCTTTAGGAGGAAATTTCTACAACTTTAATGTGGACTCAGAACCCTCAGCTACGGTTCCCACCAGCTTGGGTCTTGTCTTAGGCTGGTCCTTAATAAGCAGGGAACATAAGACACACAGCTTGTTGTATAGGTTTCTTGGCCTTCATTATGGCAGTCAACTCAAGATGTGTAGACTCACATACACACACAAAAGATCCTTGAAAAGAGTGGAGAGGGGCACAATCACACCATACTTCTATTCTTGAGCAGCCCCTTACACAGACAGCCTTGAGTAAAAGTGCTGAGGTACACTGGCTGCGAAGCAGACTCTGCACTGGGTGGCCTGCTATAGCTCCTGGCTCACCAGCTTCAAACTGAGAGAACTTGAGGCTGATGAAACCCCTGCTCCAGTTGTTTGGTGATGCAACAGGGGTCACAACAGCTCCAACTTCACCAAGGTGCTGTGAGGAAGAAGCATTTCAATGCATGGATCTATTTGGCACCATACCTGGCACATGGTAATCACTAAGTATAAGGTGCTAATGACATCACTATCATTACTATCATTAATAACTCCATTTCCCACATAGTCTCCATCCCATGAACCCATAGCTTCATCCTAAACCACACACTTTGCCCTCTTCACCCACTCAAAGCATATTTCTTCTCACTTCTAATCACCTACCTTCTCCTATCTGCATTGCCTATCCATTAACCCAAATGCCATTATCTTTAACATTATCTTTAAAACGTGCATGATGACATCTTTAAGGTGCTACCAGAGCTGTTGTACCCATTCTGTTCAGGGGGAATGAAGGGTCCCCAGCTCCTCCTACCAGTTTTTATTTTTGTACTTTTGAGACAGGTTTCATTGTGTTGCTTAGACTGTCCTTAACTCCTGGGTTCCAGAAATCCTCTACCACAGCTGCCCAGTAGCATGGTCTGCAGGTGTATACCACTACACCTGGCTCTCCCCATTTTTTAAAACAATGCCTCATATATATATAGATATATGAGGCATATATCTATGTGTGTGTATATATATATATATATATATATATATATATATATATATATATATATATATATATATCTGCTTTGTGTCCACCCATACAGCCCTGCACCAAAGTCCTCAAGTACTTCTTAGACTTCAATGTCAGCAGTAGTCAGGGCTTCAGGCCGATAATAGTAGGAATTTAAATTCTCACTTCCAATAGTCTGTTATATGCACTGGCTAATTATTTTTTCCCCTTTTGGTGCCAGCTCTAGGGCTTGAACTCAGGACCTGACTAATGCATTTAACCCTGCACTCTGCAGAAAGTGGCTTCTGTTTTCTGCTCTTGAGTCAGACCATAGTAGAGAAAAGGCCCAGTCATAGTTACTAACACTGATTACTTCTCTTTAGTCATCAAAGTTGTGCCATGGCTGCCAAAGTTTTGTGCAGTGGGCACGAAGGTACTCACCAGTCAGCAATGCATCCAGTTATTAGGTAGCCAAAGATTAATCCAACCAGTAAGGAGAACTTAGCGATATGGACCTTCCAGGCATTATCACACACAAGATCCCACTAGAGAGGGGCAAACAGAAAACAAATCAGAGAGACACATACATAGAGCTAGTCATACTCAATCACAGTGGCAACATGATAACCCTACAAGGTCATGGCTCCATCGTAGCTGCGTTGCATCAGTGGTTTTGAAAATCCAATGAGAAATAAAAGTTGCCCACAAAATAAAATGCAGTGTTTTACTCTAGAATCATTATCTTTAAACAGGCATCTGCAGGATGAAATTCGGGGATGTAATATTCCTTTCAGTCCCAACTACTACAGGAAATCAGAAACAAAGGGAATGACCAGGGAGATGAGCATCCTGACCCTGATGACCAGCAGTCCTCACCCCACAGACCTGCAACAACCAACCCAGGAGACAGGAAGGCCCTCCCACCATTCTAAACAGGATATTAGAACACCACAACACCGGATCTGGGTGCTGCTGGTTTATACCTGTAATCCTAGCTACTCAGGAGGCTGATATCTGAGGATCTCCATTCAAAGCAAGCCTGGGCAGGAAAGTCTCCAATTAACCATCAGAAAATGGGAAGAGACACTGTGGCTCAAAGTGGCAGAGTGCTAGCTTTGAGCCAAAAAGCTCAGGGTCAGTGCCCAGGCCCTAAGTTCAAGCTTCACAGCCAACCAAAATAAATACATAAATAACACTGGGGAACAAGAAGTAACATGCACATTTTCACACCACAATGCTCTCTATACCATAATCTTAAAAACAAAAGCAGGGTTCATAACAAATGCTGAAATTTGAACTTTAACTAAACAATCTTATTTTTTCCTTGTAAATGCTCTTGAATTTTCCCATATTGCATAGTATAATTAACTTGCTACAAGGAGAGAAAGTCAACCAATGTGTAAATACAATACTCAGTCTATTTTGTAAAATTAAGTTTTATTATTTAGTAAGAAAAAAATTGAAAGCTCTCTCATTTTTCTCTTCTCCATTTACAGATGCAGGAGAGAATGGCATGTTTGTTCTTAGGCAGTAATATGCGTCCAAGGATGGACACAGCATTGAAGTCCACCTCCAGCTTACCAGCAGGTCAGAAAAAAAAATAAACAAGAGTCTCCACAGGCTGGTGCTATGACAATGCAGCAACCCATTCTGGGCAGTACAGATGTCCTTCTGATGGGGTTAAGAAGTGTTAATGCCGGGCTGGGAAGGTGGCTCAGTGGTAGAGTGCTTGCCTTGCATGCATGAGGCCCTGGGTTCGATTCCTCAGTACCACATAAGCAAAAAAGAAAAAAGCCGGAAGTGGCGCTGTGGCTCAAGTGGTAGAGCGCTAGCCTTGAGCTGAAGAGCTGAGGGACAGCGCTCAGGCCCAGAGTTCAGGCCCCATGACTGGGAAAAAAAAAAAAAAAAAGAGAAGTGTTAATGCCCCAGACTGCTGGGGCACTCAACTCCAGGTCAGCGGAGGCCAAGGGGTGGGGTTGCAACTGCAACTGGAGAGGTGCCCACAATGCAGGAATTTGGGGATGCTAGAATAAGAGGCACTCTGGAGGCAAACAGGAAAGGTGAAAATGGAAGGTTGGTTGGGTAGAAGGCTCTGGCTTCTTAGATGTCGATCTCCTCTACCCTTTGTCTAGCTGGAGACTCAGAGTGTAATGCAAAGGATCCTTGTGAATTCAGGTCCATTTCCAAGCTTCTGAAGAGCCTGGTGGAGTCCTCGAGGTCCAGAGCTTTGGATCCCAGGGCCAGTGGGATTTGTGAGCAAAGGTGCCACCTGCCACATTCTTCTCTCTCCTGCACTTGTGACACTTGCTCACAGAGCCCTGGACAGTCTGATTTTCTTATCTGTGCCGTTTGGTTCCAGATGACTAAGGCATCACCAAGTTCAGGAAGGAAGAAAAGAAGAAGGGATGCAAGCATGAGCTGCACAGGCTGCAGCCAACAAAACACACACAGTTAAGGGCACTGTGGGCTGTAAATTAGCTTGGTAGAGTTCAGACAAAGGTATTCTTTCGAGGCCTAACTTCCTTCTATGACAACTCTTGTGTTCCTCAAAATGCTCCAAAACCACAAGGACCAGAATATCAGCAGTTCCTGAGAATGAATGAGAAATGCAAATTGGGCCCTTTCCCAGATGTGCTGAATAGAAACTGCAGCTCAATACAGAAGTGTGGCTTAACAAGTTGCTCAGTTGATCTGAGCCCACCATGCCTCTGAGACCCTCCAGGTGATCCTGCCCTGTCTTTTCCCTGCCATTGTGAAGACAGTCCTCGAACTTCACCCTCTCAGTCAACATCCAAGAACAGCAAGGAGCTGCAACACTGCAGGATGCTCACTCATGACTACTAGCTACTCTAGTATCAAAGCAGGACTGAAAAGCTCCATGACTCAAGTGGGTGCTTGGAGGCAAGACTGGAAAACCAACAGTCGTGGACATGCTGTTCCTAGGAAAAAACATATTCTCAATTAAAAATGCCTGTTTCTAAACTCAGAATGCAGGTTTGCCTTAAAATGTGAAGTACGGTATGTATTATCATGAACTTTGTGGGTCTTCTGTTTGCACAGATACTTACACATGGGCAACCATTATCTCCCAGGCACCTCCCACCTGCATGGACCTCAGCCTGAACATTCTTGACAAGAGAGGAGCTAGCCTGAGCCCAGTTGCTGCTGGGAGAGCACCCAGCTGGTAGTATTCCCTTTGGTTGCAAGCACTTTCACATCTCTGTATTAATGAGTTTGTTGAAGGCTAGATGATGCAGAGGAGTCCATTAAGATTATATTAAATGGCTAGGAGACAAGATATTTTAATAAAGGCCTTCAAGGGAATGGAGAAAATAGCCACTGCTGTTGTGAACTCTACCTCCTGAATAATAGCTATACCTGGCGGTGGGCAATCACAACACAGTTGTTTGACAGTCATCCGATGTGACCTCTATCAATGAACAATGCTAGAATGGAAAATGTACATAGAAAAGGAAGACTGAAGCCACTCATGGTAAGGAAAGAAAACCTACACAGAGGTACTGGTTAACACCTTGGACCTCAGCTTCAGAACACCCACCTGGCCTAGGGCAGCCAGGGGTGGAAGGAAGGTCAGGGAATCAGAGCAAAGCAACCACCTTATGTCTGATCCCTCTCACGAGGACACAAGATGGACAACATATCTGAGTCAACAAGCAAAGGACTGGAAGGCCCCAGCAGGCTTAGTAAGATAAGAGTTATTCATACCAGGAGATCCACCTAAAACAACACCCTTGTCCTCCTAGGGGCCCAACCCGGAGCCACATTCCATTTGACTGGTGTGGGAATGCTGAGAGCTAGGAGAATACACTGAGCTGGCTCCCTTGTTTATCTTCTCCTTCTGGTATTGACGAAAATATATTAGGAACATACAAAACATGTCCAGGCATAGCATTATCTCTTAAAAGAATCTGCCTAAAAAATGTCAGAAGTATGAGGAAATTTTGAGATCACCAAGTCTCATTGGTCTACATTGCTATAGATAGATATAGCAACTAGCCATTCAAGAAACGGAATCTGTGTACATGTTTAAAAATTTTAAAAATCTGACAGGAGTAATGTTCCAAAAAGCGGAAGACTGCAACCTCATGCAATGAGCTTTGTCTCCAGCCTTATTATGGTTGTCTCCCTCTTCTCATCTAACCAATCACCAAGCTCAGCAGATTCTACCTGTGTTTTCAAATGTATCCTGACTGTATTGTTATCTGTTCTGCACTGGTGCTACAAGCAGTTAACTTCTAGGAGGTTCCAGCCTTCTTCTGTCTGGTGTGTGTTCTTGTCATATGAGCCTGAAGGCTAAAAATAACACTTCCAGATTCTCTTACAGCTGAGGTTACAAATATGATTGATTTCTCTCCCCCCCCCCCCCCCCCCAGTAAGTAGGGTTTGAACTCAGGGCCTCTTAGCCCATTTTTTCTTTAGTTATTTTTTTTCAAATTATGTTAGTTTTTGCCTGGAGCCAGCATTTTCCTCCCCTAGGACTAGCCTCAGACCACAGTACTTCTAACCTAAGCTTCCTACCTGGCTGGGGTACAGGTGTGAATCATGAGGCCTAGCTTGTTAGTTGAGAAAGAGTATGTCATTCTCAATCTAGCCTCACACTGTGATCCTCCACCTCCCCAATAAAGACAGAATCACAGGTGTAAGTCACTGTCCTCACTGTGGCCCACACCTTCAAATATGGTTTAGAATCTGTCACTCAAACACATATCCTAAAAGAACTCTCAATGACTATCCTAGTTCTGGTTTCTGGGCTGACTGGAAAGAGGAGGAATGTTAAGAAAGGTAAATGTAACATCCACTCTGCTAATTAGATCTGGCAGAGGTTGGGTGAGCTAGGAGCCAGCAGTTCTGGCAGTGGCTGAGGAAGTGTGCCGGGGATAGGATCATGACTTTCTATTTCCCAGGACCCCAACAGTGACAATGGCAATGGGGTGCTGTACTGGGAATTCATCCAGAGGTGCAGCCTGAAGCTTCTCTAACTACTGAGCAGGAATCAGTTCCCTGTATTCTGTATCTCCTGAAATACTAGTTTCTAGTATTTGCAAACTGAACCCCATCCATTCCTTGACTAGGTTTGTTTGGGATAAAAGCTTACCCCACTCATTCCCTGACTAAGTGTGTTGGGATAAGTTTGCAGAGCAAGATATGCCTCACTAAGACACCCTCCCTGAACTAACACAAGCTTCTTCCTTGCGTTAAGTCCACCCTTCCAATCCATTTCCTAGAGAAAAATGAAAATGATCCTTTACTGAAGTATGTTAGCACTCATCTGCTGGTTTAACAAGTCCTAAAAGCTTCAAGTCACAGCCCAGTTCCTAACCCTGAGGCCGCCCACGCTTGCTCTCTGCTGTTCTCCCCATCAGGAGCAGCCAGTGGGAATGCTGGAAGCTTCCAGCTGGGACTGAAGACAGACAAGAGGCTCCAAGACATATATATCTGCATTCTAAATGCCACACACTAACTGAAGAAAAAAAGGCAGAGGTTATAGGAAATCACTAGACTTACTTTTACATTAATGTATTTT